AATCAATCAATCGATATATATATATATATATATATATATATATATATATATATATATATATATATTTTTTTTTTTATTTTTTTTTTATTTTTTTTCTTTTTTTTTTCACACATAAAAAATCGCCGCCCCAAATTTTTGATTTTTTTTTTTTTTTTTTCTGCACAGGTCGATAGCTGCCGACGTGCGCAGGCCGAGCGCGTGCGCCGATTTTGAGCGCGCGCCCCCGCATGGGCGTGCCTCGACCGCGTGGCCTCAGCCGAGGGCCTGCGGCCTAGGAGGTCGGCCGCGCATTGGGCCGTAGGATCCGCGGCCGACGGTGCCACGTAGAGGGCTGGTGCACCAAGGCGACCCGATTGCCCCCTTTTTGTTCGTAATAATCATGGAAGCATTGACAGCTAATCTGTGTACCCATAAACAAATCAAGAAAATAAGGATTACTTCTATTCCAGAAGACGCTATGATCCCTATCTGCTCTCTTTTTGCAGATGATCTCACGCTCATGGTGGAGGCCTCAACCGAAAATATGGAGGAAGTTCGCCGACTGATGGACCAGTTCTGCGATCTTTCAGATATGCGAGTAAACTGGGGGAATAAAACGGAAGGCTGGTGGATATACTACCAAGGGGCCAGACAGCCAGAGTCCCCAAGGGTTAGATGGTTGTCGAAGGAATCCCCGATGACAAGCTATCGGCAGAAGGACGACCAACTCTGAACGATGAGTGGTTGGTATAGCCAGTCCTAAGGAATCTGAACAGTTGGAAAAACAGCAAGACCTCACTGATGGGATGGGCTCTGATAATTAATAATGTGACATTGGCGTCATTGTGGTATAAAACCGCCCTGTGGTCACTCAACAAACCGGCAATGGCTACCCTCCAGCGAGAGGTAGCGGCATTCCTCTGGAGAGGGAGCCATGAGTGTTCAAACGCTATTAACGGTGTTTTCGTTATAAGTGAAATTGTTTTCATGTTCACTTTTTTTTTTAACTGTAAAATGGCAGAACAAAATAAGGAAATTATAGACGAAATAACGAAAAAGCAAAATAACGACAAAGCAAAATAACAACAAATCGAAATAACAACAAAGCAAAATAAGGACGAAACAATGTTCATAGCAATGCAAAGTTGAAGGAACGACAAAACAATGAGGAAAAATTAATGTGACAGTCATGCTCCCGTGTTGCCTGTGCTCAAAATATAATACAATGTCAAGTTTTTACCTCGAATGTTTACACTCAGTAAACATGTCAATCTCATCAACAAAATATTAACTACGGACTTTAGCTTTAGTCGCACCTCATTGACTTTCCTATCTAACCATGGACAAAATGTAAAATGTTATTCTAAGCCTCATATCAAAAATATTGGCTTGTCAGAAAGCAAATGGAGGGAAGTGACCTCTTGCAAGCAAAGATGCAAAACCTAACATAAAAACACCACAACTACAAGGATCCTCTTGAGCAGGAATCTCATCTACTGATGTATCAAAGGAGGATGTAGGCCCGTCCTTTCGCGAAGATTGTGTCGATGAAACTCCGCTTCGAAAAAATCTTTCAAACGTTCAAGGACTGAAACGTAATCAGCACGAGGGAGAGAGTCTATGAGATGAAATTTACAGTTCGGACCATCTATGCTGACATAAGCTAAAGCCCAGTGATTTCCAAAATGAAGAGGGATAATCACTAAGTCATAATCAAAAAGATTTGTGTCCTTCACCCATTTCATCCCTTCGGAATATGTGGTTTCAAACCTCAAAGGACCTGACAATCGAGTGAAGAAAAATGAAGTCAAAATGTACACAAAAGGAACACTATCGCTTGTCACTTCTGTACATGCCGATTCAACCTTGATGTGATCATTGGTGATCTGGACGGCTAGCAGGTACAAATTGACGACTTCGTCATTTAGCCATTTCTCATCCTCGACGACGACCATGATGTCTTCCTTTTCCACCTTCCAGCTCCCCTTGTAATCGACAATGCCGTATGCTTCATTGTCTTTGCTGCTGCTTGTAATCATGTCAAGATACTCCTTTTCTTCTACGGTGAGGCGTTTTGTTGCTAAATGAATCTGGAACGAAGGGTCACGAACTGCATACAAACACACATATAAACAACAATGGAACGACTAAGACTTCATACAAAAACAAACTTTTCGTTATGTGATGTACGACGTAGACCCGAGTTCATGTTTTTTGTTGTCTACCTGTTTCGCTATCAGAACTGCCATCCACAATAGATAAACTGCAACCTTCGCGATGCAATTTCTTCCCTTCTTTGAGGCTTATTCCAACAGCTTTAAACATCCTTAGGGCAGCTGGCTTCATTGATGAAAATGTCATGGGTGTAAGTCTTCTTCTCTCTTTTTTGGGCAATAACGGCAAAGTCGATAAGGTTTGCAAGCCACGACGAATAATATTCTTCTCACTCTGCCTTTGCGAACGTACGTGCGTCGTTTTCCACAGTTCTTTTCGTCGCCCTGCATGTTCAGCAATATAAAACGACAATGATTGACAAGACAAAACATTATGAGTTTAAGTTCAATTTTTCATATAATTGCAAATAAGAGATACACAATATTCTACTTCATTTATTCTCATGACCGAGCGCACGGTTGCAAACCTAGGCAAAAAATTAGTTCCTATGAGATGAGTGCATGTACCCCCTAATCCGCATACAGTATTAGATATTCCCTTAGAGATAAGTACGTGCTCACCTCGGTGGCTCACTAACGCTTTGTCTTCAACAAAACCTTCTATCGCACCATGCGATGGTGTAAAAGGAGATTCGTCGATAGATATCACGAGGTTAGTAGACTGTTGTGCTTCTGATTTTGCAACCATGAGTTCAGGCTGTACAAGCGTATGTTGCTCCCGTGTACTTAGTACTATATGTCCTCCATCCTCTTCGATGGCCTGTACATTGGCAGTTTCCTTTGCACCTGCAGTCGCGCTTTCATTCTTCATGTCCAGAGAGACTTCATGCTCATCTTTTTCAGCTGGCATATCCAATGCATCTCTAATTCAGCAAGTGCACCAGTATTATCCACTTGCGCAGTAACACTCTCGCTCGCCAACACAGTGATCGCCCAAACTTGGTCATGCGGAAGGACGTCCTCGACACATTTCGGTAGTTCTCCATGACTTACGCCCTTGACGCTTGCACCGCCGCTTCCTCCCAAATCCTGGCCACTTGCATCGCCTCTCGATCCCCTACCATGTGCACCGCCGCTTGGTCCTAATCCCAGAGGCGAACCCGATCCCCTGCAATATGCACCGCTGCTTGGTCCTAATCCCAAAGGCGAACCCGATCCTTGGCATGTGCACCTCCGCTTGGTCCTGATACCTTTCCCTCTGTTGCTTGACGCCCTTGACACATTTGTGTTTTTGCAGTTCACCATGACTTATTGGCTTTCCACTTGCACCGACATCAGGTCCCAGACCCTTGCCACTGGCACCGCCCCGTGGTTCCGATCCCTTGCCATGTTCACCACCACTTGATCTTGTTCCCTTGCCAAGCGCACCGCCGCCTGATCTTGATCCCTTGCCACTCTCATCGCCGCTCGCTCCTTTCCTTTCCCCAACTTTGTCTTCAAGTTCCTCTTCGATACGCCAATAATATCCAAAAGTTGGACTTGTTTCTCGATCATAGAACTCTTCCAAATACTCAAGCCATCGAGATGTTTCGAACTCCTGAAAGATTTCGTCTATCCTTGCATCCAGTCTTGATTGAGAAACCTTCGGATTAAGTCGCAGTAGTCGCTTGCCAATCTCATTTTTGGCGTGTGTGACAAACTTGGATCGTGACATACGTCTGTGGAGGCAAAATTGCCACTCCCCTTCTTCTTTTATAGCCATTACCCAGTTCCCTCTCGCCAATGCAGGTTGGAAGTGGTGGGGGTGCCATATAATGTGATGACCCCATACGTTGTCAGGCATCACCGTATAATCATCTCGGCCTACAATAGGTCCAGGAAGCCAAGCAATGTCCGGAGGGATGATGTCTTCAATCTCGTACTCCAAAGGCTCAGACGGAGGTGGTTGAGGAGTTTGATAGCAAAGCAATTCCAAAACAGTAGTCGGGCTATGTGCAAGTGCTGACAGACTTGCCATAACCTCTGGGGAGAGAATTGCCTGCACCCTCGGATCATCCATAACTGCGCCGGAAGATAGCGCTGTTGTGTTGCCCGCCATATAACTGGTCCGTTGAAACTGGTCCGTTGTAACTGCCATACTCGAAGCCCCCCCAGAACCGGACGATGTGCCCGGCGCACCCATCTTCTGCGAAGCCGAGCTACAAACTTTTTGCCTCTCATCTGCCAAAGCCGCTTGCAAAGTACCATCTTCACTTTCTTCCTCTGAGTCCTCAGCATCGAAGCCTTCCCCAAAACAAGTTGCATAAGCTGAGATTGTAAACGCCCCGATTTGTTCGTCGAAGTACATCATCTCCAAACGGTCTAGAAATGCAACTTCCGTCTTCGCCGGTGCCTTATAATACCCCCTCAGAAGTGATTTCATTTTTCGCCTTCTGACGACGTATGCATGTTCCCCTCTGTTTTGTGGCTTAGTCTCGAAAAGGAACTCCCAAATGTTGATGATGTTTTGGCCGACTCTGTAGACGAGATCACGCTTTTCATCATGTCGAGGAGGCGGCTTAACAAAGTTGGCGAAGTAAAATCCACTCTTGACCATCTTGGTGACGAATTGAACGAGAAACTCGAACTTCATACCCTCCCCTTCCAGAACAATGCAATGACGGTGACTCTTTAACAACTCCCAAATCAACGCCACATGACCATTTCCCACGAAAACAACCGCCTTATCCGCAAGACAAAAATGCTCCAATGTCTCCACCATCGCATTTGGCTCCCTTTCTATACCTTCGTACGCAAATTTCTCCCTTGGCTCCATTCCTGCCATTTTCAACTTCGTGGGCGTGAAGTTCTTCTCCACGACATCAGCCAACATTTTTGGCCTTCTCTCTCTGCGCACAAGTGTTGATAAGTCACCCGCCTGCTCGCCAGATAATCGATCTGCAGCTGGAGTGCTTGTTGGAATGTCTTCAAGCAAGGGAATAGTGTTGCGGTGATAATCCCCATCGTTGGAGTACATGATGACAATCATTTTATCTGTGTCCTCCAAAGGCAAGTTCGCAACCTTATATAAATATTTCGCCTTCGTTTGTTGCTGACGAGTCCACTTTAGAATAGACAAGTGAATGTCAATCTCCCAACTTGTAACTCGCTTGAAAAATGTATACTCGCAAGACCGCGGAACGAAGCACAATAATGTCCAATAATCACCAGCCAGTTTTCCCATGAACTTCCGCAGACCATCAAGGACTTCTTCAGTCCACACCCCTATCTGGGTTGGGTGACACAAATCTAGCACGGCCGTGTGGCAACTCAGATGTTTGATGACTCTATATATTTCCTTGGAATCCATCTTGTCTGAAATATCGCTTAGTTCTCATTGGAATAGGACGAAAACAAAGTTCACGTTCTGTCTTTTGAAATGTATATATTGCGCCGAGCCCGACATTCGTATGTTTTTCGAACCCCTGGTTTCTGATCTGCGCAGCAGCTTGTTGACAAACTGCACGAACTCTCCGGGGCACTTCGCAGCAAGTGACGCTGTTTTCTTGAAGCCCTCTTCTCCTTTTTCCTCCTCTCCTCCAAATGTAGCTGGGAACGTTCACACCCAACTCATGTCTTTGAAATGGTGACGCTGGTCGATCCACCTCTCGGACGACAATCCTTCATCAGAGTACTTATCAAACAAATCGGAAAGATTGTTGAAGAATGGTTCCGTCCACTCTGACGACTTCCTGTGAGGGTCAGAAATGAAGACGAAGTAGTGAAACATCATCAACATTGCTCTTTCAATCTTCACCATTTCCACATATGTTTCCGTTGAATGTTTCCCGGCACGTTGATCAGCTCCACTTTGCTTAGGAGTCAGTATTACACTGCCTGTGAGAATGTCTCGTAACAGTTGCAACCGCTCACGCCTCCCAAGCGCAGAAAAAGGCTTTCACGCTCTCATATCCGGATCGTGCACAACTACGAGGTAACCAGGTCCTTTGGTACACTGAACCCAGTGAACCGGATACCTAACTCCACCTTTCAACTCAAATCCGGGTCCAGCCCTCGATGCCTTCCCTGATTCACCTTGCTTGGTAGCAGGCTTCACAACATCTCTCCCCGACAATTGTCCAGCTTCCCAAGCGGCGTACACTTGTTTCACCTTTTCGAAAACGTCATCTGTCGCCCTTGCCAACAACATGTAGGGCCCAAGGGCGTCAGACCACAGGCTGCTCCATTGAGTAGTAAGGGACATGTCAATCAAATTACGAATCCCGGTCAAACGAAGAGCCTCTCCTGCAAACTTTCTATACTCTGCATTTTCACTTCTGCCGCTGAGCCGCCTTTAGCTTCAGGACAGTTCGACTCGTGCCACAACTTTCGTATGTTCTGGATGACCACGATCTGGTGCGGTGGGGTATTCCATTTGTCTTTGGCGTTCTGGAAAGTGCTCAGCGTGCCGTAATTGTCCATGCTCTTATCCAGATAATAAACAGGCCTCGCAGTCCAGCGATCCAATCGGAGCTCTTGTGCGATGTAAGGGCGTTCAACAAAACACCTTCTTGCCGCCGCCACGTTATGCTGACCGCTGAGAGGGTAGTAGTAGTACTTGTTCACAGATTCGAGGTCGAAATCATCGGGCAACATCCTCCTTGCTCTCACAATCCTCCCTGAAGTGTCAGTATGCAATGTATCACGGAGGGCAACCAACAAAAGGACAGGCTTCTCATACAATGTACAAACATTCACACCGGCAGCTCCAGTCATTCTCTCTCTCAAAGCAGCCTCACCCGATGCAACCATTGCGTCATAAATGTCGTCAACCGTCTGCTGCACAAGATAGCGTTGATTGTATCTGAATTCCCCGTCGGGGATATCCAGAATTCTGTCGAACTGGACAGAAACGAATTCCATGTCTGGACATTGGTTCCCACGCTTGTCCAACTCAAGGAAGAAGCCTTTGCTGAGAACACCAAAAGAAGTCACTGATGGCACATTTCGCAAACTTGGCGGCCTAGTTGTCTTGCCTTTGGCCTCTTCATCCGATTGTGGTTGTTCCGCTAGAAAAACGGAAGTCTTTTCCATGACACCACCTTTTGCCTTTCTTTTCTTTGGCTGCTGCTTTTTCTTCGCGGCTGCCTCAGTCTCTCGTGTTCGCTGGACCGCCTTATCCACGGGCATTACTTTCAATTGTCTTTTTTCACCCGCTTCTTGCCTACTCCGTTTACTATCTATAAGACTTTTCCTCTCCTGTCTGTGCTTCCTCTTTCGCTCAGCGAGCCCTGCGGCATTTGTATGCCCAGCCACAGCCACTGTCGCGTGCACATCCCCCTCACATCCTTCGTAGCTGCTCCCATATCCTCCTGCCAGACCAACCTCCCCACCCAATTCGCTCATAGTGTGCTCACTGTCTTCATCCTGTCCAACCACTTTACTTGTCTCTCCTGGATGCCTCGTCATGCCGCCGACACCCGCAGCATACTGTTCCTGTCCCCCTGCTCGTTCCGAATATTCCTCGCTGTTCTCTTCATCCTCATCCTCAAAATACTCATGGGCTTCCTCTGTGCGGCTTGACACAGTGTAGTCATAGCGCTGCTGGCCCACCAAGGGGAGATGTCCCTTGGTGGCCACATCATAGCGTGATCGGCTGCCCAAGGCAAGTGGTGCTTTAGTCGCCGTTGGCCTGGTCTTCATAGGGGCTGACGGCACAACCAGTCCGCGACACGGACCCTTCTCTCCGATCTGCCCAGCTTTCGGACCAGGCGGAGTATCGCGGATCGTGATCGAAGGCCCTGTCTCCACGGTTTTCGAAAGCACGCATTTAGGCTCTGATATGCGGTCCTCTGGATGCACAACTGGCTCTCTGCCCGCGATCACATTACTGTCGAAAAACCCGAGGACGTCAACGAGGTTAGGCAACTTCACTTTTAATGTCCCTGGTGGGTTGAACACATCAACCAACGACTTTCCAAACCCCGCGTGTTTGGCCCATCGAAGAGCGACGTGTTTAATGTTTGGTATTCTTTCCCCTCTTCCATTCAGGACCATCGTCAACTCGAAAGTTGCANTGGCCCATCGAAGAGCGACGTGTTTAATGTTTGGTATTCTTTCCCCTCTTCCATTCAGGACCATCGTCAACTCGAAAGTTGCAGACGGTACATTTTGTCCAGTCCACCTCACTTGGCCGCCAACCGACACAATATTTTCTTTGATGACCACGTATAGAACAAGGCCACTCGATGGTTGTCCGGTCTCCCCCACCCAGTCCAGCATCCAGAACTTGTCCTTGTGCTCAATCACGGGCACATCGTTTCACCAGACGGTTTATGTTTGCCAGACGGTTTACGTCCGGGCACAACCTCCACTACAGATCTCCCCTGCTGCGGACCAGGCACACGTTCCTGACGTGCAGGCCCGCCAGTCATCAACACAGCCTTATCTGGTCCAGAGCCCCGAACACGAGTCGACGGAGTGCTCGTGGAAGGTGCACCCCTCGGAACCGGGGTGCGTTGCCGCTTAGACCCCGGTGCCTCCTGACTCCCAACCCCAGCGGCCGGCGTCCCCTTCAATTTTTTCGGAGATTGTTCCATGCTCCCAGAATTCTTACTTGCTCGTCGTTTACTTGCCTTCCCTTCTCCTTCCATGTTTTGCAGCGCTGCCGAATCTGAAAGCAACACAGCACATCACCGCGAAGCAAAAAATCAGAAGGCCACACAACGTTGGCATGGCACGAGGAGTAGAAAAGTTTCAGATAGTGATAAGGCAGCGCAGCTCCTTCGTGACAAGGCAGCCCCGATCGTGTTCAATTCGATCGTGATCGTGCCCGTGGTCAACACGATCTTGTTCGGCACGAGCGTGACAGGCCAGCTCTATCGTGTTCGACTCGATCGCGGTTGCTGAGCTCGCCTGAACTCGACCGAAAGTCTAGGCGCTCGTGTGCGTGTCATATTCAACACGGTTGTTTAGGACTCGAACGTGACTCCTGGCGATCGTGAGTCCAGGCGATCGTGTTCGACTCGATGGTGAGTCAAGGCGATCGTCTTCGAGTCGATCGTGTTCAACTCGAACGTGAGTCCAAGCGATCGTGAGTCCAGGCGATCGTGTTCGACTTGATGGAGTCGAACACGATCGAGTTCGACTCGAACGTGGCGGGCCAGCGCGACAGTTCGACTCGATCGGGCTGGCAAACAGAACACGGGAACGGGATGGCGTATCCAATAGCAGGCAAGCAGAACACAGGAGCGGCGTACCTAAAAGTCACATCAAACAAGGCAGATGAATCGAAAGCCGGCATCGACAATTTCACATCAAACCCATTGCTTTCATAACACACACAGTTTCAGTTCACACTCTTGCTGAATAGCCCACATTTCTCACACTGTTCATCTTTCGCTGAATAGGGAGCGGCATCACCAACAAGGCACACCAATCAAGGCACATCATTTGGAAGCCTACATCCATTATCAATTCGAGGCATTCAATTGGCAAGGCAGGCAACCGGCACCCGCAACAAGCGACTAACAGTACGCTCCACCGATTACTAACCACACACACACACACATAAGGAGAGAGAAAGAGAGAGAGAGGTTTAACCGGCATCGACAAGCTCACATCGAACTCAATGCTCGCACGCATACACAGTCTCAGTTGTCACTTTTGCTGAACAGCTGAATAGCTGACATGTCCTACACTGTTCATCTCCCATTACCTCCCCCACGACCTCGCCTATCCTTTTGCCCCGAAACCGTACACTGCGTTCAGGGATGAACCGTACGTTAGGAGCTGTGGACTACACAGGGTTGCAGTGGCAAAGAAGCAAGACACGTATCGCGCACGGACGAAACCACATGATCTGGTTAAAGTGTGACCGATGGCGTCTCTAATGACCGTCACGTACTCCTTGACCTCCTCCCAATGCCGCGGTGTGTCAACCTGCCCCGCCAGTTTCACGTCAAACTTACTGTTCCTCCAACCATGCGGTAACATAAGCGAGTCCCCGTCAACGATGAGCTCGTTCCTGGACACGTAAATACTTGCTTCCGCTGAAGTCTTACTTCTATTTCTTACCGAAACACAAAGAACCCTAGCGAAAGAGAAACNCGTACACTGCGTTCAAGGATGAACCGTACGTTAGGAGCTGTGGACTACACAGGGTTGCAGTGGCGGAGAAGCAAGACACGTATCGCGCACGGACAAAACCACATGATCTGGCTAAAGTGTGACCGATGGCGTCTCTAATGACCGTCACATACTCCTCGACCTCCTCCCAATGCCGGGGTGTATCAACCTCCCCCGCCAGTTTCACGTCAAACTTACTGTTCCTCCAACCATGCGGTAACATAATCGTGTTCCCGTCAACGATGAGCTCGTTCTCGGACACGTAAATACTTGCTTCCGCTGAAGTCTTACTTCTATTTCTTACCGAAACACAAAGAACCCTAGCGAAAGAGAAACGACAGAGATCAACATGTACGCAGAAGTACGACACACTCCCCGTCAAGTTGTCCTCGAAAGGAAGGGGATATTTCTCTAGAAACTGGTTCTGTTTCGCGCAGTCCAGCAACTCCATCTTCATCGATGGTCCCCACAAGCGCGGAAAACACGACACGTTGTGCGCAGTCAATGACAAAGACACGTTTCGGGTACGAAATGCCGCAGACAACACCGGCGTGTGTTTCGTCACGAGGATGTGGTCGAGGAAGATGAATGTCCCCCATTCCTGGCTGGATGCTAGTCGATAATCAGATGCCCAAGGGCAGTCTTTCATTGTGTTATCCCAGTCCAATTCGGACCATGCATCGAAGGGCCTTTCAAGCCAGGGCATAACGCTCATCCAAGGGTCCGTGTCAAAGTCTTATCTACGGGCCCCAAGTATAGTTGTCTTCCGCCTTGAACCTCGTATGTAACTCGCGCTAGCATTCAAAGGGAACGAGTAATCGAAGCGGTGAGCCATCGCAAATGTCCTACACACACAAACGATTGACGACCATAACAGGGAGCCATTGCTAAGGTCGAACTCGCTCACACACAGAGGAGCCATCGCAGTTACACACAACAACCAGGCATTGCGAATTTCCAAAACAGAAGGAGAAAACACACAGAACGACAAATTCCTCGACAACTATCCATCGTCGCGTTCGTCGCGACAAGGTCGATGACGGACAATCAACAAAGCTTAGACGGATGGCCAGAGGCCTTGGCGCTTGCCGACGGTCTAGTTCGTAGAGCTCAACTCGACGACGGCCGACTGGCCACTGTCGAGTCGAAGTCGACAGCCGGCCAGCTCCAACGCCTCTGGCCATTGTCGAGTCGGACTCGACAATGTCCAGCCCGCCGTCGTCGAGTCGAACTCGACGGTGGGACAGTAGGGCGTCGTCGAGTCGAAGTCGACAGTGGCCAGCAGAGGGCCAACGAGTCCAACACGACGGCCGGCAATCGCCAAAGCCACGGGCCATTGTCGAGTCCGACTGGGGCGTCATTGAGTCGAACACGACGGCCGGCAAGCGCCAAAGCCTCCGGCCACTGTCGAGTCCGACTCGACGATGAACCCAGGCCGTCGAGTCGAACTCGACGGTGGACCAGCAGCAAGTCATATGGCCATTGTCGAGTCGAACTCGACAACGCACCGGGGTCATTGTCGAGTCGGAATCGACAACGGCACAGGCCTTTGTCGACTTCGACTCGACATTGGCCATATGACTTGGCGTTGGTCCACCGTCGAGTTCGACTCGACGGCCTCTGGTCGTCGTCGGTTCGGACGCGACAATGTCGACAGGAAACCGACGACGGTCTGGGGTCATCGTCGAGTCGGACTCGACAGTGGCCGGAGGCTTTGGCGCTTGGCGGCCGTCGTGTTCGACTCGACGACGCCGTACTGGCCGGCCGTCGAGTTCGACTCAATGGCGGCGGCCTGGCCATTGTCAAGTCCGACTCGACGATGATCCCAGGCCATTGTCGATTTCATCTCGACAATAACCCCAATCCTTTCTCGAGTCAGACTCGACAATGACCACAGGCCGTTGTCGAGTCCGACTCGACGATGACCTCGGGCCAGTGTCGAGTTCGATTCGACAATGACCACAGGCCATTGTCGAGTCCGACTCGACGATGACCCTAGGCCATTGTCGAGTTCGACTCGACGATGACCCCGGGCTATTGTCGAGTTCGACTCGACGATGACCACAGGCCATTGTCGAGTCCGACTCGACGATGACCCCGGCCCATTGTCGTGTCCGACTCGACGATGACCCCGGGCCATTGTCGAGTTCGACTCGACAATGCCCTCGTCGAGTTCGACTCGACAATGCCCCCGTCGAGTTCGACTCGACGGCGGCCTCTGCATGGGCGGAGATGCCACGTGGCAGCACGTGATTGCTTCACGGCAGTTTACCGTTCTCCCAGGCCTCCGCTGCTGCCTTCGATGCGGATGCTCGAAACTTCGCTCCGATGCTGCGCGAACCTCCGATGTGCGAGCGAGATCTCCGTTGCGTTCTGCGCGAGCCTCCGATGTGCGAGTCCACACTCCGCCGGCCTTGGACGCTTCGCGAACCTCCGCAACGCTCCGTTGCTCTTGACGAACTTGCAGAAATGGGAAATAATGGGCCCACACCACTATTTATACTTTCTGTGGAAGGCCTGCGAGGGAATGCGGCCTGCGGGGTGTGGGTTCGGGAACCGGTGCCTCGGGGGGATCAGTGCCGCGGGACCGACGTTTCGAATCCCGGGAAAGTCTGGGTCGTCGATCTGTCGGCTGAGGGCCAGGATTGGGTGTGGGGAAAACCGGTGCCGCGGTGAGAATCGGTGCCCAGCGGGCGACGATTCGAATCCCGGGAAAGTCTGGGCCGTCGATCCGTCGGCTGAGGGCCAAGATCGGGTGAGGGGAGAACTGGTGCTGCGGTGGGAGTCGATGCCAAGGGGGGCGACGATTCGACTGTCGGTGTCGTCCGCGACTGTTAAAACGGGCTCCGCAGAAGGATCCAAGGGTTTTTTCCCTTGCGTCGCTCCCCCAGACAAAAGGCCGGCGCAGTGTCACCTTCGCGTCGACGTGAAAGACAGCTACGTTGCTCCGCCACGGAAACTGCATTGCTGCTCCGATTCGTGCCTTCTTTGACCCAGGTGAGTTCGGAATCCTCGCCGCCCCGCCCCCCCCCCCCCCCCCCCCCCCCCCCCCCCCCCCCCCCCCCCCCCCCCGCGCCAACCCCCCAATCGCGCCCATCCACTACTGCTATTCGTCATTCGTGGTTTTTCAGGACGTCAAGAAAATTTCTCCCACAGTTCACAGAGCCGTCCATCATCGAGTCCGACATGACGACCGTCGTGTTCGACACGATGACGGTTGAGCGAGGGCGTGTACGCCACGTGCTGAACATGACCCCACCGTCGTGTTCAATCCGATGATGGTCGCTGTCACTGAGTCGAACACGACCGCGGTGGCACCCCCCGACCTCACTGTCGTGTTCAACCCGATGACGGTCGCTGTCATCCTGTCGAACATGACCACAGTGGCACCCCACAACCCAAGGTCGTGTTCAATACGGTGACGGTCGAGTGAGGGCATGTACAACACGTGCTGAACACGACCCCACCGTCGAGTTCGACCCGATGACGGTCACTGTCACCGTGTCCAACACGACCGCGGTGGCACCCCCCGACCTCACCGTCGTATTAAACCCGATGACGATCGCTGTCATCGTGTCGAACATGACCGCAGTGGCAGCCCCCAACCCCACGGTCGTGTTTAATACGGTGACGGTCGAGTGCGGGCATGTACAACACGTTTGGAACCAGACCCCACCGTCGTGTTCAACCCGATGGTGGTCGCTGTCATCGTGTCAAACACGACCATGGTGGCACCCCCCGATCCCGCCGTCGTGTTCAACCTATGACGGTCGCTGTCCTCGTGTCGAACACGACCGCAGGTCGTGTTCAATATGATGACGGTCGAGCGCGGGCATGTACACCACGTGTTGAACACGACCCCGTCGTCGTATTCAACACGATGACGGTCGTTGTCATCGTGTCGAACACGACCGAGGTGGCACCCCCCGACCCTGCCGTCGTGTTCAATGCGATGACGGTCACTCTCGTAGTGTTGAAATCGACCGCGTTGAATCGCCGCCGTGCCGATGGTAATGTTCAACATGCGACGGTCGAGCGCGGACATGTTCGCCACGAAAGCACCGTCGCGTTCAACAACAAGGCGGTCGCTCATCGTCATCTTCAACACGACGGCGGTGGACGGCGGTGGCTGTCATACAGACACGGGCATCGATTGTGACAAGATAACGGCTGAGCGAGGGCATGTTGAACATGACCGCGCTGTCGTGAGAATACGGTGACGGTGGCTCTCGCAGTGTGTGCCTGTTGTGTTGTGCAATGCGATGATGCGTCGTCGTGTTCGACACGACCGCGGCGGGAGATCATCACGTTCAACGCGACAGCCAGTCGTCGTGTCTCTCGTGCATCGCTTCTGTTGAAGAATGTATTTTTTTTTGCATTCACGGCCCTTACATCGGCTGTGTGTGGCTAGCAGTGGTCGCGCTGAACCACATATGTTGCGCTCTACATATACCGCATGTGATCCATCTAGCTGCGGATTTGCTACTGATATGCATGTCTTGTGCCAGTGGTCCACTGTTTTGTCATCGCAGAAACGTTTTAAATGGCTTGTGGTGGGCATGCACCGCGGCAAGCTGCCAGCACAACTTTGGAAAGCATGGACTGTGTGGCATCTAATATACTGCCTAATGATGAGCTTCCTCCGCCGGACCTGCCAATGTTTTCGCAAGACGTTCAAATAACTTCAGAATCTCCTGATCATAAAGGTCCCGGATGGCTGCATATGAAGAAACCACATGCGAAAGTGCATTTCCAGCCTTGGGCGGACCAGTGAAAACCTCTGATGCAGAAGGTTCGAAAGGTCAGGGTAGGGCCGCCTCCGGTGATAGGAACACATCCGATGTAGATCGTATCATGTGGGTACCGAGAAGTTTGCTACGAGATTTTGAGTGCACAGGCCTTCTGTTTGGCGAGAGTGATGAAGATGGTTCGGAATCTGGTGCTTCGATGTCATCTGATGCCAACAGTTCTCCAGACAAAATAGATCATCCACAACCTTGCGATGATGATGCCACTGACCACTACTGTCGCAACGGTATGGAGAGTTCTGATGTCATCTCTGATTTTGATGACATTTTTCCCAAAACGTTTGTCATCGGAGAAGCGTCCTTACACTTTCCGTGTCATAATGCCTTGGTCAAAGAAGATTCTGCAAACAGTTCACAGAAAGCTCACCAAAAAAGCACTGGCAAGTGTGCGTGGACAAGTTTGTTGTAAACAAGATTGTTGCGCTCGCATGACCATGGAAGACATCAAAGCTGTCCAAAGTGCATATTACTGTAGAGATTGTGCAACCTATTGTGGGGAAAAGAAAGGTGGGCATTAGTGCATGGTGTTTCACACTGGGTTTGTGCAGGAATACATTTTTGAAAAAGAGGGTGACTTTGTCAAAAGGTTATATTATGCCGGAGCATGGCAGCACTGGACTCAGACGCACATCTGCAACATATGCGACGATGTTCGGCAAACTAAGCTCCTTTGTGCGTGACAATGGAGATTCTATGCCCAATGACATGAGGATCAAAGATGGAGAATCATGAGTGGTTTTGAGATTGCCTGCTTGCTATAACAAGGTTGACATTTATAAGTTGTTGAAGTCACAATTTGACAACCTGGCTGTCCCTTCTGTTTCTCTCCAAGTTTTCTATAACATGTGGAGAACACACTTCTGGCATATGAAATTCCATGAAGTTGATCAAAAATTTCGAAATGCGAGAAGTGTGTTGAGTTCAAAGAATCTATCAATTCTGCGAAGTTCGTACGTGTGCATGATTATTTCGTTTCGAAACGCCACAGACACTTGGACTTGCAGCTCCAACACCGTGCTGCTTATGAGGTGTGAAAGGATGAGTCAAAGAGACCAGGTTCCACTAGTTTATGCATCATTATTGACGGTATGGACCAAAGCAAGATGAGTATTCCACACTTTGGCGGAGAAAACAAGTCGAAGGCATTTACGAATATTCCAATGACGAAAACAAATTTAACAGCTATTATCGCACACGGCCGTTCACCATCGGTGCATGTTCACACATGGTACCCTTGCTATTCACATGATTCCAATGCTGTGGTGTCATCCATTATGAAAGTTTTGCGTGACATAGAGGCGACAAGCGACTTACCTCCTAAATTGAGGATACAAGCCGACAACTGCTGGAGAGAAAACAAAAACAAATACGTTTTGTCTCTGGCCGCAGCTTTGGTGAAATTTGGCTTCTTCAAAGAAGTCGAATTCGGTTTTATGTTGGTAGGACATACACATACGGACGTTGGACCCACTTTCAGTCATTTCTCTCGCAAACTGAAAATGCACGATGCTTATACCATGCTCGACCTGTTCAAACTCGTTGCCAGTTCCCAAAAAGAGCGTCCTTTGTGCACATTTATAGATGAAATTGCTAACTGGCGGGGAGCTGTTAAGCCCTTCATGGTCAACAGACTGACCGGTGATACAAAGCCACATTTATTTAGGTTTTATATGGAGGATGACAATCCTGTGTTCCAGTGGAAAGAGTATTGCACTTCTCCGCACTGGTCTTCTCCGGTCTATTGCTTTAAACGAGATGAAAATAAAGCATATGCTGGACCCGAATGGCCATTCGAGCCTTCACCTGTTCTCCCGTCACCTATTCGACCTGTTACAAAAACATCACGTGGTTAACCCGCTAAGGATAAGAATTTGGATTTCAAATTAGGAATTGAAGGCGTGAAGACATTTGTTGAGTGGTTGGAAAACAAGCGGCACGAGTGGTTGGGAATGAAAGATGAGGTTAGCTTGTCAAAGGAGAGTGCTCTTTCACACTGGAAAACTTTCCTCGACACAATCGAACAAAATTATGGGTCTGGCTTTGCGAAAACATCACTCAAGGCTGACTTTTGGCCCTCGCGGGACAGAATTACGAAGGACGATGCTGAGGATATTGATATTGCCTTCCTCTTGCAGAGCAATGAGAATAAGGAGCCGTTGTTTGTTAGGTCAGCCAATGAGCATCCAAAAGCAGAGCTCGACCCGGTTGTGGATGTCGAAAATGGTCAATTCGTTCTCTTGCGTCCTTCGCAAGATGATATCGATCAGGGAGTTCCCGTGTGGATGGGTGGAGTCATTTCTAATATTGACAACGATAGGAAGTTGCCTGCTTTCAATCATGTTCTTATTGAATATTGGGTGCCACAACCTGTCGTCAAAAGCCTTTCTCTGCAATATGCAAATGCATGAAAGAAGATATGGAAGAAAGACAACACAACATCACAGCAGTGGCAGCACGTGAACTGTGTTTTGTGGAGCTGGTCATCAAGGACGTTGCATTTGGAAAATAAAGTGCACATTCCCAAACCGGTCAGAGAGAAAGCCTTGGCATGTCTTTCACTTCCAGATGATGAAGACCAATAGGATAAGTCACTGAGAAGACCTCATTTTGTGCGTGTTGGTGTACCATTTACTTGCCATTGAGCTTCCATTCATATATAGTTAAACTATATATCATTGGCTTGCCTTTTACTTCCCTATGATGAAGATTAGTAGACTTTAAGTACGTCGTTGAGAAGACGTAATCATATTTCATTCGAGTGTATTGCTGTATCAATTAGTTGTCATTGAGCTTCTGTATTTCATGTGTTGCAGAATGGTTCATTCAACGACTGGATGGCCGCCAAGCAATACGGTGTGAGGCAGAAATGTATGGCATGATATGGGGTCTATCTTTTTCACACCTGAAGTGGTTTTCGAGGGTGCAGTACTCAGTGTGAGAGATGTTGATATCGCACCGGATCGTTGGGAGCATTATCCTCTACAATGTTTGTATATTTGTGGTCGTAGGTGTTGTGGAACAAGAGAATATCCGCGAGAAGTGCACGCACTGTATTCAGAATTGTACTATTCAGCAGGGAAGTTCTACCACAACGACTTTAAGGTGATGACCTTGTACTGTGCAGCGTCAAGTATCCAAGGGCGCTGCAAGCTTTCTTTTCTTATTCATAAAGATCATTCTACAAGTGCAAACATATCCAATGCACATGATATCGACGGACGAAGACGGGAAGCATTTGGAAGGAGGATCATGGACCAACCGTCGCTCAAAGCACTCGTGGATGGGCTCGTGGACACAGCGATTACATATGTACGAAGTCTTTTGCTGCGAGAGTATGAAGTCATAGAAACTTACGTAGAGTACAAGGACCCCACATTCGATGGGCACAATGAGACGGGCACTGTAGAAGATTGGACAATTCACATAAGGAGAGCGTGAAATTTATCACGCAGATCGTGTTAATATGTCCATTACGTACTAAGATCTGATTCAAGTAGCCTTAGAATATCGTTTTGAAGTGTTATCTAGCAGTGCCTAGAAGTTGATTTCAATTATAGTCAACTTTGACGAAGATTTTGACAATGTGTAATTTTAAGAGTTCATAGACGCACCATTGAGATGATGTAAGTGGCACTGCTTTGCTTTTAATATAATTGCCAATGGACTTTTGCATTTAAATTTCCTTCAACGGTCTCCATATGAAGGGTGTTCTTATAGTTTGAAGCAACTTAAGGTCTAAGACTTGGACTTTGGAGAGCTGCTCTTTGTTTGAATGTGTCAAGGGTTTTACAAATTTCGCAATTCTTTCCTTCGCATATGATGTCATTTTTTTCGTTTATATTCTAATCATTTCGACACTTCTCTGCTCCAGGTTTACATTATGCCGGAATATTAAAATCCTATTTTTTTTTGTTTTACAATTTACCTTTTGTTCGGTTACTTCGTTAATTTCATTATGCTCACTTTTTACAAAATAGTTCATTTTTAACGAAAACGTCGTTTATTAGTAGAGTGGCGTGGCAAGCGGTGGTTCAACCAAAAACCAAAGGTGGACTAGGGATTATAGACCCAACCGCCCAGGTGATGGCCCTAGCCCTGCAGTGGGTAAAACACTTGTTTTTTTACCCACAAACCCCATGGAAAGCATCGGCACTGCAACAAATAAGTAGGTTGGCCCCACTGCCCCCCCCGAACATAGACCCGACTCGGACGACCTGGCTGGAGGACCGGTATTGGCCTGTTCCTAAACCATCACCGGCGGGAGAGGACGAACTTGATACAAACAGGCAAGCAGCCAAAAGGGATCTGTATAATGATGCCT